GCAGCTCCTTGCTGCTGCTGCTGCTGTTGCTGCTGCTGCGCTGCACAGCAGGAACAAGCAGCCGCAGGAGCTGCTGCAGCAGTGACCGCAGCATGCTGCTCTTTATCCCCGCTGCAGACTCATCTTTTCCCGCTGTAGCTGCTGCTGTTGGGGACACAGCTGCTTTAACTTTATTGCTGCTGCCGTTGCTGCTGCTGCTGCTGCTATTTGCTGCATGTGCTGCAGACACCTCGCAAAGCAGCTGAAAGAAAGCCAGCGCAAGTTGAGCAGCAATAGCTTCATTCGTTGCTGCTGCTCGCTGCAGCAGCAGCATGCTGGAGGTGTAGCTTTCTTCTACTTGCTTCCCTCCGTGCTGCCCTATTGCTGCTGCAGTCCCTTCTGCTGCTGCTGCTGCTGCTGGCGACACGTGGAACTGCTGCAGGTGGCAGAGCACGCGCAGCAAGCCCATGTAGAAGGGGGGCTGCAGCGCCTTTTGCTGCTGCTGCGTCTTCTGCTGCGGCTGCTGCGGCTGCTGCTGCTGCTGCTGCTGCGTCGCAGCAGCAGCAACTGCACTTGCAATATCCCAAGCAGCGGCACACAAACCCTCGCTGCTGCTGCAGCAAGAAGATGTGGCAGTTAGCTGCCGCCCCCCTAGCGGCTGCTGCTGCCGCATCAGCAGCTGTCCGTACACCCGCAGCTGCAGCAGCAGCTCGTCACGCGACTGCTGCAGCACAGAGAAAGCAGCAGCGGCGCTGCAGCAGCAGCTGCATAGGCAGCAGAAGGCCCTGCCTATATTAGGGTTTAGGGTTTAGGGTTTAGGGTTTAGGGTTTGGGCCGGGACTTGCCTTGTGGGTCGGGAGGGAGAAGCATGAATTTGCTTCTGTCCAGAGAGCTGCTGCTGCAGCAACCGCGGGAGTCTGTGCACTGTCTAGCTGCTGCTTTGCTGCTGCTGCTGCTCCCTGCGGCAGCTGCTCAATAAGGAGACACAAAGACCATGCCCTAAGAGATGCAGCACGCAGAGCTGCTCGCGTGCTGCATGCGCTGAGGAGCGGCAGCAGCTGCTGCAGCAGCTGCTGCAGCGCCTGCTGCGTCTCTGCTGCTGCAGGCCCTTCTGCTGCAGTTGCTGCTGCTGACACAATTCTCTCCAGAGTTTCCTCTGCAGCAGCAAGCAGCAGCTGCTGCTCTGCAGAGACTGTTCCCTTTTTGTTGGCAGCAGCACAGAAGGCGCCTAGTTGCTTCAGCCCCTGCTGCAGCAGGTGCTGCAGCTGCTTCTGCTGCTCGGGAGCGCCGCTGCTGCTGCTGCTGCTGCGCCGCAGCAGCAGCGGCAGCACGCGACCCAACAAAGCGCAGCATGCGGCCTTCACGTCGTCGTTCACGTCTGCTGCCAGCAGCGCATGCACTTTGCTGCTGCTGCTGAGGTGCTGCTGCAGCTGCTGCAGCTCCTCAGCAGACACTGTTGACTCCTGGAGAACGGTGGGAGTGCACGCAGTTGCTGCCTGTGAAGCAGCAGCAGCAGCAACAGCAGCAGCACTCCCCTAAGCAGCAGCAGCAGCAGCAGCAGAGAAGCCCTCAGCAGCAGCAGCAAGAGGCGGCCAGCAGCAACAGCTGTGTCCCAAGAAGCCAGAGCTGCTGCAGCAGCAGCAGCAGCAGCACCGGGAGCAGCAGCGCCAGTGGCAGCAGCACCACCCCACAAACAGGAGCAGCAGTAACAGCAGCAGCAGCAGCAGTTATACCTGCAGCAAAGCGATGGTATCCAGAGTCTTCAGCCCCGGAGTGTTGAGCTGCTGCAGCAGCTGCTGCTGCGCCGTGAAGGGTGCTGCTGCGCTGCGGCAGTTTGCTGCTGCTCTCTTGATAATGCTAACAGCAAGTGCAGCACGGCCCCGAGCTGAGAGAGCAAGTGTTGCTGCTGATTTCAGCGTCGGCAGGAGCTCCTGCAGCAGCAGCAGCAGGCAGCTGCGCAGCAGCAGCAGCAGCAGCACAGCAGCAGCAGCAGCGCCTGCAAATGCAACACCAGCAGCAGCGGCAACCCAGCAGCAGCCCACGCAGCAGCGGCACCACCCGCAGCAGCAACGGCAGCTGCAGCAACAGCAGCAGCAACAGCAGCAGCAGCAGCGTACCCGCTCGTGTCTGCAGTGGAGTGGCGCAGCAGCAGCAGCAGCGGGGGCCCCGCAGCATCCAGAGAGCGGGCAAAACCTTTTGCTGCTGCTGGGGCTATAAGGGCCTCCCAGTCTTCCTGCTGCAGCAGCAGCCCCAAAGGAGAGAAGCAGCAAAAGGCAGCAGCAGCACAGCCGCGGCGGCCGTCCAGCAGCTGCAGCAAGAACAGCAAACGCATGCACCCGCAGTGCCATCAGCAGTCCTGCTGCTGCTGCTGCTGCTGCTGCTGTGCTGCTGCAGCTGTGGGGTCTGCTGCTGCAGCGCAGCCATTAGCGCCGCATCTCTCTCTCGTGCTTTTGCTGCCGCTGCACGTGCTGCTGCTGCTGCTGCTGCCGTTGCTGCTGCTGCTGCTGTTACCTGGAGGAACAAGTGCAGGAGTTTCTCTCGCAAATCCAGAGCCTCCTTTTTTGCTGCTGCAGCGGCAGCAGCAGCAGCAGCAGTCTCGCCCTTAACTTTACTGCGCAGCAGAACTTCGCAGGCCCAGCAGCAAAGGAGCCAGCAGCAAATGCTGCTGCTGCTGCTGCTGCTGCTGCTAATGGTGTTCTCTGCTACCTGCAGCGCGTGCGCCCTCGCCTTAGGAGACACCCGCAGCAGCTGCTGCAGCACTTTAGCCCAGGGGAGCTTCAGGGCCTGGCGCTGCAGCAGCTGCTCGATTTGCATTTGCTGCTCTTCGTGCTGCTGCTGCTGCTTCTGCTGCTGCTGCTGCTGCTGCTGCTGCTCCTGGTGGTGCCGGCTCTGGCGGGCGACTGCAGCAGCAAACGCGTCAACAGCGACGCGCTCCACCTGCAGCAAGACACCCCCTATGCTTTTGCTGCAGAAGTCTGCAGCAGCAGCAGCAGCAAGAGCAGCAGGCGGCAGCAGCAGCAGCACCGAGAGGAAGCTGCTGCCCACAGCTGCTGCTGCTGCGCTGCGGCCGAGGCCCTTTATCGTCGCCTGAAGCGTAGAGCAAAACTGCAGCAGCAGCGGCAGCTGCTGCTGCTGGGGCGTGCTTCCTTCTGATGCTGCTGCTGCTGCTGCTGCTGCTGCTGCTGCTTCTTGGGCGAGAGCCCTTGCTGCTGCGGCCTGCAGGCGGGAGAAGCAGCAGCGCCAGCTGCTGCTGCTGCGCGTGCTGCTGCTGCATGCTGCAGGCGACAGCAGGACGGAGCTGCAGAGGCCCTTGAACTCCTCCTGGGACAGCAAGCTGCTGCTGCTGCTGCTGCTGCTGCTTCTCTCCCTGATCTCATCTAGGATTTGCTGCAGCAGCAGCACCTGCTGCTGCTGCTGCAGCACCTCCAGGTCGCTGAGCTCCTCTAAAGCAGCTAAAAGGCCGGGGGGCCCCTCTAGAGGGGCCCCCAGGCCATTCTGTAGTACCTCTTCTGGCATATTGTGGCAGCAGCAGGTGTGCCGTGGCTAGGGTTTAGGGTTTAGGGTTTAGGGTTTATGCGTTGCGCGAGCAGCAGGCCGCGCTGCCGTCAGCAGAGGCCTGGGCGTTTGCTGCTGCAGCAGGAGCAGCAAAAGCTGCAGTGGTTGTCTCAACTTGCTGCTGCAGCAGCTGCTGCGCGATGTCTGTACACCCCGGTCGCGGGGAAGGCACACCTGAGGCGCCTTTTTCGAAAAGAAATAAAACAAAAATAAAAGTTATGAACAGAAGAAGTGGAATTTGCAAGGAGCCGCGTGCATTTGAGGTGTATGTACACCTGAGCAGCAGCGGGCGCATGCAGCTCCGCCTCCTTCCGGCTTCCTCCGGGGCTTTCTTCGCACTTTTTGGACCATTAAAAAGGCAATTTAAAATTAAATGAATTTAATTTTAATATTTCAAAAAGGAAGAACGGCTGGGGCGTACCTGCTGCTGCTCCGCGGGCGCATGCAGCTGTCAATACACTCCGCGGGCCCCAACCCCGCAGCTCTGCTGCGCCTTCTTTGTGTCTTTCTTTTCAAATTCATTTAAATAAAGTTTTATTTTAATTTAAAAGTCCAGTGCAAACTTAAAGCCCCGAAAAAGGCTTTTCTTTCACTGCTTAACACTCAGCAGCTGCAGTCGCAAACCCCAAACCCTAAACCCTCACTGTGGGCCAGCTCATGCCCCGGGCTAACCCCAAACCCTAAACCCTAAACCCTAAACCGTGGAGTCCAGCTGCTGCAGGGGCTGCGCAGAACCCCAATTAAGGGTCTACAGAAGAGGAAACAGCTACGCGAAAAGCGCCCACCCAAGTTGCTGCTGCTGCTGTTGCTGCTGCTGCTGTTGCTGCTATTCTTGGTACGCTGCTGCTGCTGCTGCTGCCTGCAGCAGCAGTAGCAGCAGTAAGCACCTTTCACCTTCTAGTATCTTTGCTGCTGCAGACAAGACATTTGGAGGATGCAAACCCTTCTTCACCAGCCTTTGCTCCTAAACCCTAAACCCTAAACCCTAAACTCCGAGGGCAGAAGGCCTATCGGGAGGCCACGAGATCTCAGCGCGTAAACCCTAAACCCTCGCAGAGGCCCGAAGCGCGTCATCTCTTATCACCCCAATTAGGGTTTAGGGTTTAGGGTTTAGGGTTTATTGGGCATCGCCTTGCTGGCCGCGGACATCCCTGCAGCCGCCCCACAGCAAAAGAATCCAAACACATTAATCGCACCCCAAAATCTGCTGCTGCTGCTGCTGCTGCTGCTGGAGAGGCTAGGGAAGGCAGCAAGGGTTTAGGGTTTAGGGTTTAGGGTTTACGAGAGTTCGACACGGTCCCCAGCTGCAGGCCGCTGCAGCCGCTGCCCCGAGCAGCTGCTGCAGAAGCTGCGGGTTCGAGCAGCAAAAGAAGGGGAAGCAGTTAAGGAAAATGCGTCTCCCCGTGCTGCTGCTGCTGCTGCTGCTGCTGGGTTCGCGCTGCTGCTGCTGCTGCTGCCTGAAGCCGCAGCAGCAGCAGCAGCAGCAGCAGCGCGTCGCTTCTCCGCGAGCTTCGATGCCACCATTAAAAAGGCCGCGTCCACGTTCGCCGAAGTCTGCACAAACCCTAAACCCTAAACCCTAAACCCTAAACCCTCATTCCCCAGTGAGTAAATAAATTTAGTTTCAAAAGATAGAAAAATAAATCATCAAAAAGAGGCACGCAAATAAAGCCCCAAAGGCCGAACCAAAGCCCCAATCAGAAACCCTAAAATGGCGAATAGAAAACCCCAGAAAGGCGTCTAAAAGCCCTCATATTAAAGCGCACATAAACCCTCAAAAAGTAGCTCAAAAACCCTAAAACAGCGATTAAAAAACCCTAAAGAGGAGATTCCAAAACCGTAAAAAATGATTTAAAAGCATTAAAAAGGCGATTCAAAAACCCCTAAAAGGCGATTCAGAAGCCCCAAAAAGCGGCGATTCGAAAACCCTAAAACGGCGATTAGGAAACCCTAAAAGGGGGTTTAAAGGCGAACCTTGGCGGAGGTGCATGCGCATGCAGCCCCAATGGAAGCAGCAAAAGCTCTGGCCTCTTCTTCTGAAACTTCAAGTTTTTCTTCCAAGTCCATTTTGTTGGCTATCACCATCAGAAAGGCCGAAGGGCCCAACGCGTGGTGCTCTCTTATC